GACCTAAGGAACCATATTCACCTCCCCGCCATGACCAAATTTCGATCATTCCGAGGTATGTTACGCCTCGAAGTGTTCCTTCGGTCTTCGATGAATGGCTAATATCTTTCCTTATTTGGTCTTGGCTCCCTGTCTGCATCTCTCGATTCTTTGCTATCAATATGCTTGGGTAGACCGAGCCCGAGGGGACTCCCAACTGGTCATCTTCGACCCTAATCTTGGACTGGTACCTTTTATGTACATCCTCCCAAGTCACGGCGGGATACTCGATCAAGTTCTGCTTCAACTGCCTCGAAGCTATTGAACTTCGTTCATTTAGCCCCTGAGTGAAGACTTGTACAGCCCAGTCATCGGAGACTGGTGGTAACTCCATTCGTTCCAACTGGAATCGGGACATAAATTCCCTCAACATATCATTCTCCCTTTGCTTGATTTGAACACATTGGACTTTCTTGTTGGAACCTTTATGGCACCAACATGTGCCTTCACAAACGAATCTGCCAACATAGTAAACGAATCGATAGAATTCGAGGGCAGGTTATGATACCAAATCATGGCCCCTTTAGATAGATTTTCCCCAAACTTTTTTAGCAAAACAAACTCGATCTCATTGTCTTACAAATCATTTCCTTTTATACCACAAGTATATGTGGTGATGTGCTTGTTGGGATTGGTGGTCCCATTGTATTTTGGGATGTCTGGCATCTGAAACTTCTTAGGAATAGGGGCCGCACTCGGGAGGAATAGTTTTTGTACAAACTTTTTTGAATGCAGTCCTTTCAATATCGAAGGTGCTCCCGGTATCTGGTCGACCCTCGAGTTGTATGTTTCCACCTTCTTATCGTTGTCCTCAATCCTTTTTTCTCCCTACTTGATCCTCTTAGTGAGTTCCTCGATCATTCTCATAATGGTGGGGTCAACTCCCGACCCATTGTTGCGTGATTTCTCGGGGGTTGGCTCAACACCATGAGCGGTTTCTGGTCCTGTCCCGCTCGGAGTCTTTTTGCTGACTTTGCAACTAAGCGATAGCAACCTGTTGTGCTTGCAACATTTCAAAAATCACTTGTAGATTGGCTTCTCTTTCTTCTCGAGCCTGTGTCCTTTGGGCATCGGGATGGTCCTCTCCGCGTACACTTCCTTCAACATCAATGCCCAAGTCAACGTTCAAAGCAATGTGTGAACCAACGTCGACTAGGTTAGGGGTTGGTGCTACCCCAGGGTTAAGCGGTGGCACACCGGTCCCTAAAGTTGTTGCATTGTTTTCTCTATGGAATCCGAGACTGTCGTTGCCATGTACTGGTGCGTTTATTGAGTTAGACATATTTTAGCCTGAAATTAAAGAATCTTTGACTAGAAAAAATGTGAAGAATAACGTGTATTATCAGAAAACTAGCACTAAAATAATCACTATTATCTTTAGCCCCACGGTGGGCGCCAAACTGTTTACCTCGAAAAATACAAGTAATAATTAAATTTGATTTTTGATTTTAAAGATACGTGATCTATTCCAATACTAGTGAATAAGCAAGTAATATTAAGTATAAGTAAGAAGAATTGATGAACCAAACCAGTGTTGCTAGAGCAATAGGGACCTCAAGCTAGATATTCTCGGAGGCCTCGAGGTGGGTTAAGAGTAATAAAGTAAGAAAAATAAAGTAAGAGTAATAAAGCTGAAGAACAATTCTTGGAGCACAATAAACGAGAAAAGTAGGATAGAATATACTTTTGCCAGTAGTGAGATGATCTTTACAAATGATTGGGGTCCCCTTTATATAGGAGGGGAGAACCCTAATATGGTAAATTTCTAATTATGATAAAGATTTCTATTGGTACAATTGTATAACAACCTAGTATGGATTTGTACTAACTCGTACAAATCTTATCCCAAACTCATGCCTAGATCTTTGTGCCCTTGAGAAATTCATGTTCTTTCTTGAGTATCATCAAAATGGTACTATCTCTAGGTAGGCCGTGCCGGGCCTTTGATTCGTTCCTCGAGGTATGCATTTTCCAGCCAGCCTCGACCCTACTCCAAGTTCTCCAAACTCGATCCGGAGGTAGTAGTTAGATCATCGAAATCAGGTTCCCCGATTTTGACCGTATACAATTTGCATTTGGACAAAAATTAGGTTGAGACAGTCTTTTTCTTAGAGATTTTTCTTCGTAACATCAATTCTCTCCCGAGATCTATTACATGAATTTCAAAGATGGATCGAGTTTGTAATTAGTATATGTATATTTCCATAACATAAATCCTTTTGTCACGATCCCAAATCAATTAGGGTTGTGATGGAGCCTATCGTGAAACTAGACTAGCCCTCTAACACCGACCTATACCTCTGGAGTCAACTGTCATGAGCACCTCTAACAGTAAATACAACGAATAAAAATGTGACTTTGCTACTAATACAGGTCCAAAAGTATGAAAAGTCTATGAACTGGGAAAGGAAAGAAGGTAAGCTGGGGATGCTGAGCAGCTACCTCGATCCTCGATCAACTCCAAAGGACGTGAGAAGTCAACTAGCGAGCTGGCCCGGTACCTGGATCTGCACACAGAGGTGCAGGAAGTAACGTGAGTACGCCAACTAAGTAAGTAACCAAAGTAACTAAAAACTTGAGTGCAGCGACGAGCATTTACAAATCATAATTTAATAAAAACAGTAGTTCAACTTTTATTAGGAAGGCTCAGTAATAAGAAGTGTGAGAAAAATAATAAACTTAACAATGTAACAGCCTTTCTGGCACAGTATCACTCATAACAAGGTTTCTCAGTCACTCGTGACTCCCCTATAATAATTCCATGCTCACACTCAGTACTCTCACTCAACAAGTACCAGATACCCACATTACTACTGCGGCGTGCAGCCCGATCTACCTAAAATATGTTGCAGCGTGCAACCCGATTCAAATAACATATGCTACGGCGTGCAGCCCGATCCAATAAATATATAGTTGACTGCGCTCACTGGGGGTGTACAGACTCCGGAGGGGATCCTAAGCCCAAGCGCTATACTGCTGCGGCGTGCAGCCCGATCCATAACTATCCTCACAAACTCGGCTCTCGGCCTCACTCAGTCAGCCTCTCAAGCCACTCGAGCAACTCATCTCAACATCATGGGAGTCAACCCAAAATACCTCAAAAGCTTCAAAAGCTTCAAACCCGTATGAAAATGGTGATAGAAAGACCAAAATTCGCTAAGGACCCTTTTTATATGATCTGCCCAGGGATATCCGCACCTGCGGCCAATTACGCGCACCTACGGACCCGCACCTGCGGTCCCAGGTGCGCACCTGCGGAAAACACTCAGATGCCCAACTTCCGCACCTGCGCTCATGCATCCGCAGGTGCGACCACACCAGATGGGCAGCGCCAGCAGCACTTCAGCTGCATTTTTCCAACTTCTAAGCCCCCGAGGGCTATCCAAAAGCAACCCGAGCCCCTCGGTACCCCAACCAAAAACACAAACAAGTCATAAATGATTACTCGGACTTAGTCGAGCCCGCGGAACACCCAAAACAACATCGAAACTCCAATTCAACCCATGATTCAAGCCTAAGATTCCTAAAACTTCTGAAAATCGCCAACGATGTCGAAATCAACCAAAACACATCCGAATGATCTGAAAATTTACACACACGTCCAAAATGGCACTACGGACATGCTCCAACTCCCGGACCCCGATAGCCTATTTTTCACTGCCGGCCGAAAATCGCCAAAACTAATTTTCGCCAATTCAAGCCTAATTCTACACCGGACCTCAAAACCACATTCCGAACACACTCCTAAGTCTCAAATCACCTAACGAAGCTATACGAGCCATAAGATCTACATTCCGAGGTCGCTTACCAAGAAGTCAACTCCCAGTTGACTTTTCCAACTATAAGGCTAATTTAAGAGACTAAGTGCCTCAGTTCTCACCACAACCACTCCGAACCCGAACAAATCGACCCCAACACATCATAAACAGCCTAAACAATGCATGACAAGGCAAAAAAAGAAATAACGGGGCAAATTCTACAGAATGACTGGCAGGGTTGTTACACCTTTGAGCGAGTTCTTTCTTATTGTTTTGTTTTGGAGAAAATATTAGAGTCACTATTTTATTTTCAAATGAAAATCTGAGTTCTATATTTTTCTGGTAAGTCTAAAGTTATCCATTTGTTTGTACAAGTACTATCAATATCGAATTTGTTTTCTTAATACTGATGATCTTTTCCATGTCATTCTATGAACTATTGTGTTGGAAAATCATTGATTTATTGTATAATTTATTTTATGATAGTGGTGTCGGGTCAATTTGTATGCATCTCGAGTATTTCATCAAAATACTTAATTGAAAAACTCCGCTCATCAAAATTTAGGCAAATACGAAAAAATTATTTTGTTATATACACAACACATGCATAGAAAGGTTTGAAAGGGGTGGTTAGGAAATCATCATTCTTAGGTAGTTGCATCTTCAAGTCAAGTTACCTTCAGATTACTTCGGTCATTGGCGGAAATAAAATTGCAATAAATCATATTACTTTATTTATCGAGCTAGCTAAATAGGATAAATGTACATAATTTTTAGGAACTTATATTTTTTAAAATTATTTTAATACAAATATATTATTTAATAATATTTATGCGATTTCTTAAAAAATTATATACTCACTGACATGGGTACACGCGCATAACGCGTACCATAAGACTACAACAACATCAACAAGAACAACAACAACAACAACAACCCAATATAATCCCACTAGTAGATCTGGGGAGGGTAGTGTGTACGCAGACCTTATCCCTATCATGAGGTAGAGAGGCTGCGTACCATAAGACTAGTTAATATAAAACATCTATTAATAAGTCTGCAGTTGTTTGGGTATGAGAGGATTTCAACAACGTAGGGTAAGCTTTAAATCGCTAAAAGATCATAAGTCTGCATTTGTTTGGTCAAGGGGTGGTAATGCTAATTCTGAAAAAGAAATTAAGAAGAGCTTATAAAAGATAATAATTGAAAATTGGAATTTCTAGACAGTTTGTCCAAACTCTGATGATTCTGGATGAGAATAAGATGTATTAGAGCCAATCCCAAACTTGTTTTAAGCATGTAATAGCTCCCTACTGGAATCCACATATATACAACACTAATTTTCAGTCAAACAAAAAGCAATTTCATAACTTAACACATCACTTCCAGAATGCCAAAATAGGTCTTTTAAAGCCAGTTTTGCAACCAGATACACTAGATGTTATGTCCTCTACCATTCTAAATCCAATCTGCATTCAGATTAAAGGGATGTGTCAGTGAAGCCTACCCAGAGTCATGAAATATTCTGGGCGGGAGGGAGGGAGGGAGAGGGTTATAGAATTCCCTGCAACATACCTTGTCCAAAAGTATGTCTTGAAAATCTTCTGGGCGGATCTTAATATTTTGATAATTAATTCTTGTTGTCTGCATAGCAAGAACAACATGAACATTTACAATTTTGGTACGCAAAGTAAAAAAGAAATCCCAATATAAGGTCTTCTCCGTATAGTAAGCACGCATGTGAAGCCAGTAATATATGAAAGGATATACCTCAGATACAAGACGATTCTCGTAGTATGATTTCCAAGGCTGAGGCTCCAAAATAAACACACCACCCTGCTATCAAAAAAGTACAGTTAAAACATGAGTTTCTTTCTGTTTTCAAGGAATTGCTTCCTATTAAACGTGAACATTACCGGTGAAAGGAGCCTCCAGACTTTGGAAAACAAAGCTATTAGTCCGTCATCTCCCCCGTTTAAATGCACCCACTTTGACACGCTTAAGCTGCATCCAATGAAATTCAGCTCTTCAAGCTCACATACATGGAAATAGAATAAAATTTCAGCACCCAACTTCATGAAAAGTGACCAATACTAAAAAACATATGACATACAGAAAAGCAAAAAACGGGGTCTAATCTTCTCCGTAAGAAACCCTCAATGAGGGATTCAAGTGCTGATCAATCTTTAGAAAAGCCAAAGATTGAGAAGCCTACACCTAGCCCCAAGACTCAGGGCCAAATTTCCCATTCCCCAAGAAAGAAAAGAGAAAAAGAAAGATCCCACAATAAAATTTAGAAGACTAATGAAGTTGATCTCAAAATTGTCGCATACTAAACACTACTAGAACATAATGGCATATAACTTAGTTAGAATCACTTATTACTTATGTTGAGCAGACTCTTCATTTTAGTCGTCGCACTTGTGTCGACACGACACTTATTGATAAGGGTGTGAGATTCGTACAGGGTGTGGTCAATCGAGATCGGATACTTTGACCAACAATCCATGGACAAATTTGAGAACAAATGAAAATAGATAGAATTTTAGCTGCTACATACTACTGCCTAGTGCCTAGTGCCTATAACTTGAAAAATTCTCAAAATGGGAGATTAAATATTGGCTGCTCTCCACAGCCTATAAGTTTTTTTTACGAAATATTTGTCATAATTTAGGATATTTTTATAGATCTACTTTTAAAATTTTGAATTATTTTAGTGAAATCCCCGCACCCATATTTGTGGGTGGATCCATACCCCTTAAAATTTAGATTATGAAGGATCCGACCTCTAGATCCGCACCCGGGTCGGATACCTACACCCAAGTCCTAACAACATAGCTTATTACCCTGTGTACATATATTTTGACGCCGAGTAGGAGTTTATGTTTGAAATATTGACTTATCAAAGAAATAAACAAATAAATACATGACCAGTGGATATTGAAGTTAAATTAAGCTGGAGATAAAAATAAAGGAAAAAAACACAAAAGAAACAACAAAGATTTTATATATATTTTCATTATGTTTGTTTTTCTTATATCATAATAGGGATTAAAAATGTCTCAAAGTTCGAAAGAGAAACGCTCGGCTTGGTGATATGGCGATAAAGTTAATGAGAAGAATAGCAGAAATGTTATATGCAAGTTTTGTAACAAGATTACAACGGGGGGAATTTATTGCTTTAAATTCCAGCTTAATGGTGGCAATAGAAATGTCACAAGTTGTCACAAATGCCTGCCGGAGGTGAGGGAAGAAATAAAGAATTTTGTTGAAAAGGAGGTAAAACATCAAATGAGTCATCAAACCATTTGTGACCAATCTTGATGATGATGAGATGATGATAAGGAAGAATATGAAGCTGTTGATTTGTCACTTCCAACAAAGTTACAAAAAAGGGGAAGAGATGCAATCTTTTCAAGCCATGGATCGACGGGTATGAGTACGACTAAAGGTCCTATAGATTGTTATTTTCCAAAGACTACAGAAGAAAAGAGCGGTGGAAAAGATTTGCAAAAACTTGCCAAGGACATTTTAAGGGATCGTGCATTTATAGCTTTTGCACGATGGGTCAATGATGTAGGGCTCCCCTTCAATTGTGCCAACTATACTGACACTTTTGGAGACTTTCTTGAGAACGTTGCTCAATATGGACCAAGAATGAAACCCCCTCCTCCCACTTATCACGGAATCAGAGGTCCTTATTTATATAAGAAAGTGGAGGAGACCAATAAAATTGTAAAGGAACATAAAGTTGTGTGGAACAAGTATGGATGCTTCATTACGATGAATAAGTCGACGGCAAGAACTGGAAAAATGATTAATGACGAGTTGGTGAATTCTCCCAAAGGAAGTTTGTTTCTTGGGTCGATTGATGCTAGCGACGCGTCCACTGACCAAATCAAAATGTTTGTCTTGTTGCAGAACACCATTGAAAAGATTGGCTCAAGCAATATTGTTCAAGCGGTCACTGATAATGCGGGTAAAAATGTTAAAGCGGGTGGTATGGCGCAAGGAGCGAACCCGAATATCTATTGGACTCCATGTGCGGCTCATTGTATCAACTTAATTTTCAAAGACATTTTGAAGAAAAAACCCTTCTCTACAATTTTTGGCCAAGGGTGTTAGGATACATTCTTATATTGCTCAACGACCCTTATTATGGAATACGATTCAAAAACAAGAATTAAAGTACTAGGAAATAAGAAATAAGATTACTTGGAGAAGATTTGGTAGAAAATTGAAACTTAGAAAGTGGGATTTAGTTCGACCACATGCCAAGTTTTCTTGTAACGTGAATAGGCTCTATAATAAGCTAGCAAAATGTAACTTGAAACCTGGTGAGCATTGGATACCCATTCATATTATAGCAAATCTTGTCCCATCTTTGGAAGTTGTTAGACTCGAGGACCAATCTTTTTCAACCAGGGGAGAATGATGCAAAATCAAGAAGGCCAAGAATCCAAAAAATTTAAGAACCCATTCAAGATTAGGAATTATTTTCCTTAAAGATTAGGATTTCTTATTACTTATTTCCTAGTAATTTAATTCTTATTTTAGTAGAATTGTCTTTGTAGTTCTAGTCAAACTAGGATTGTTAGTTAGTATCCCATTCATACTAGAATTTTTTTTCCTATTTTAGTTAGTGGGGGGGTGGGGGAGCTGCACGCATTATTCTTTCTTATTGTCCTTCATGCTCTTGAAAGTGGTGGCCCTTTGATTAGAGTTTGGTGGATGGGGAGCAAAAACCACCAATAGGCTACCTCTATGAAGCTATGGATAGGGCCAAGGAGGCTATTAAACAAAGATCTTTCAGATCATTGATTCAAGATGGACAGAGCAACCTCATCGACCTTTGCATGAGGCTGGACATATTCGGAACCCGTCACTCTTTTATGATAAATATGAGAATAATTCACTGGATAGAAAAGTATGGAAGGGATTCCATGACTGTGTTATTAAGTTGGCCCAAGATAATGAGCTAGAAGAAAATACAATAGATCATCTTGTTATTTACAAGGCAGATCAAGGACTTTCTAAGCTGCGAATGGTTATTAAACAAAGAAAGGACGAAGACCCCAGGTGACCAAATGCTTCTATATTTTATAGCTCTAACTTTTAATGTATTTTTTATACTTATTGACTCTTGAATATTTTTTCACTTCTATAGGTGAGTGGTGAAACAAATATGGTTTGAAGACTCCGGTTTTATAGACTTTCTCCATCAAAGTTCTAAGTTTAACTTGTAGCTTAGTGGGATGTGAAAGGAAGTGGAGCGTTTTTGAACATGTGAGACTTAAAAAGAATGATTTCGAGTAGTGAGATAAAGTAAATTATATCTCAATTGTCCAAACTCCTACAAATTAGTTGACACATCTTGTTTGCAGATTCATACAACGAAGAGGAATCTTCTAGCCTTGAAGCACCTCAATAATCTAGTGTTTATAAAATACAATAAAGCATTGAGGCGTCGCTACAACCACAGCAATCTAATTGATACTATTCTTTTGGACAATATTTATGAGGCTAATGAGTGGATAATCGAAGTCCCCAAAAATTCTGAAGATTAAGAAGTATTTGAAGGCGCCTGTAATTTCACTTGGGGTGATGTTGCGGAGGCTAGTGGAGTTGGGGAGAACCCTTAAGGTTTAAGGGGGAATACTTCAAGTTCAAGCTCGAATTCGAATAGGAAGGGAAAGAGTGGGTACTACAAGTCGATCCCTAATTGATGAAGGTGAAAGTGATCATGAAGAGAAAGAAGAAGAAGCTGACGAGCAATATGAAGAAAATAGAGGAATTCAAGATTTTGACAATCTTGAAGAACTAGAAGAGTAGAAGAATAAGATGTTGATCCTAGTAATTAAGGGGTTTTGATTTTGCTTATTGAATGGTTTATGAAGGATTTTGTGGTACCTACTTTTAAGTTTTTAAATTGAGCTTTTTGATTATTTATATTGTCGTTTTGCATAGTTTACTTTATGTTTTTTAAGAGTTGTGCTTCACTTCAATGAAGGGTGCGCTTCGCTTTTAAAGCGAGGCAAGCCCCTGTAGCATTTTTGCGCTTCTCGCTCTCAAAAACACTAACCCAGCATTCCCTGACCTTGGAAAAGGATTTGGATGATCAAAGCACTATTCGAAGTTACTTGTTTTTCATGGTTGATGGTAGGAGCCTGTCTCACTTTGAATTCTCCTAAGAAGAGGTATTCAGACCAGCTTTACATGCTATCACCAGGAAATTGATACCAATGACCATCTATTCTTGAATAGTGTTATTACTAGACAACTTTGGCAGCACTTCATAACACTAGCTAGTATTGTTTGGATGATGCCCAAGAAGGCCGTTGGCTTGATATGCAGTTGGAACAGTATCAGGGGAAGAACCTGTCACAAGGAATGGTGGAAGATTTCGGCTTGCATATGGTGGACAGTTTGAAAAGAGATGAATGCAAAATGTTTTGAAGGCAAGAGTACTTCAACACAAAAAATCAATATTCATTCATTTCTCTTTTTCATTTTTGGTTTAAAGAACAATTGGTAGGTGATGCAGAATCAGTACTAGACTTTTTTGACTCGCTGTAAATCTGAGAGGTTCTGTACTAGTAAAAGCCCTATTTTGAGTGTTGATGAATATAAATATTAACTTTCTATAAATAAAAATGATATTCATAAGCATGAGAGTCCATAAAAGTCTCTTTGTTCGCCTCTTTTAACCATGTCTTTGTGGTGTCACAGATAGGACTGGAGCTAATGGAAAACAAGGAAGACAGAATCCACCCAAATCATACTCACCTAGGACTGGTCAAAGTTGGATGTCAAGATAACGAAACAGAAAATGTTCTCCAGCTAATAAACCCTTTAAGCTTTTGCACTGTTCTTGTTCTTTTATCATCTTGTTCTGCTTACATAATTTTCCTCTACCGCCAAAAGAAATGCAGCTTTAGAATAAAATTTTGGGTGATTTTGAAAAGGAAACACAAGTTCCAACAATATAATATCGTGGATACCTTTTCGCAGAAGGATTGCAATTGACTAAAAGATTTCACATCTCTTGAACCATGCAGGGAAGATGACGTTAAAGAAAAAGAAAACTTACCAAATAATTGTATCATAAGATGTATTGTCTCTTGGATGCCAATTCTGAATAAAATCTCCTTTCTTGAAGGAGACTATGTCAAAAAAATCTCCCTCTTGCAAATGATGAGGTGTTGTACAGTCATTCTTTGCCCTTTTATTAAGTGACTCTGCCACCGGGTCTTTTAAACAATTTACAGTTTTTGATTCTGCTAATTTGTCACCTCCTGCAGGCACTGTTCTAAGACTCTTCACTTCTCTTCTGAGAGTCCAATAGGCATCATTAACTCTTGCTGGAAGAGGTGAAAAGAGAGAATAAAAGTTATAAACTACATCCTAGCAACTCAAAGTCAAATGCTAACTCCATCATATCACACATTACTTAAGATGCCTATATGGATAACAGAATATGATATTATCGGCAACTATGGTAATAAGTTGCAAAAGAGATCAAGAGGCCAAATTTATACAATAATAAGAAGGAAAGAAATTAAAGAGCGACCGTGTGACACGACAATCCGACCAACCGCACATTACAATCATTGCACAAAACAATTGTTTGGTCCATCCAATTGCACAGGAAAAATCAACAAAATGCACTATGTGGGTTCAAAATCAAATACTAACAAACTCCCGTTCAGCTGCTCTCTAATAAAGATTGATCCATGAAAGTAACATTTGTGCCGTTCACAAATTGCATGACAATTTGTTGGCATCTTAATCAGCTCGTGATTTCTTCCGGCAATAATCAACTACATGTGAACCAAATATGTAGACCAAATGAAAAGTTCAAATACTTACCACCATCAATGTCAATTCCAAGGATGCTTCGGCAGCTAAACTTTCGTGCTGTAGTCAAAAAAGGATAACTGATATTAACAACACACAAAAGAAAAGGGAAATGTGTAACCTCTATTGGTGGACAATGTTAGCGGAGATATCAAGCAAAAATCCCACATGCAACTAAACATTAAGGAGAAATCTCAATTCAGAAACATATATGCAATAAGAAACTTTTACCAATGGCGATTGTGATCACTCCACTATTACAGCCAATATCAAGACAATCCTTGCCTTCAAACCACTCCTTCTTCATAGCTTTTAACCTTGGATCTTCTTCCAAATCCTTACCATTCTGTGCACAAAAAATACCAAATAGTGAGAGTCCTACTAAAAGGTATGCAGCGATGAACTTGCTCAAAATTATATCTGGACTTACGATAATTGAACAAAAAAAATTAAAAAAAAACTAAAAGGTAACAAAACAAAAAAGAAACTCTGAGCTGCTCCCAAATTGCTTCAACTTGGGAGCCGTAAGATTTTCCGGAGATAGCACATGCAATAGAAACCTAAATTTAGCTGGAGATGATGTCCCTTCCATTAGATTAGATACATACAAGTCTTACCGAAATTCTTCCATACATTAATATGTAGAAAGTGACAAGAAAATAGATAAATGTTTCAAACTCCCACCTCCAAAGAAATTTACTAAATCGGAGAAACTTCATTCTTTATTCATGTTTAAATAAATTGATTAATTTCTTAGACTGCTTATGTGCGTTATTGGAAAAAAATATAAAGGTGGACGGAGGCAGATGAATATTTTTAAAAAAAAAAAAGATAATGTATGCGAATATTTTGAGGAACAGAACAATTGGAACCTCAAAAGACCACATCTCCCCGGACAATGTTTTAGGGAGCACTAAAATCGACAATGCTAAGCACCGTGAACTTCTCGTGGGGATCAGCTCACTTGGTAAGCAGACTCACCTTCCACCTTGTAGTCGGATGGTTCCAATCCCATACATAACATTTCCTTCCCCTTTACCGTTCGCCCGTCCCCAATGTAATAATAACAACAAAAAACAAAAGAATAATAAAAATTAATTTAAGAAAAGAAAGTAAATTTGGTTTTTTTATTCAAAGGTGTTACTCTGGTCTATAGAAATGTTCTATTTTGTTCTTTTGAAAGACAACTTTGTTTTATGAACAAAACAAGTATGTTTCTGATTCAAAAAAACTTTAGAGTTGCTGAAACTACCTTAAGACTGTTAGGGAAAAAATTTTAGTGTCTTACCTTCGCCCCTAAAAACTACAATCCATCTGTGCTAAAGAGAGGGTCAGTTGGTAAAAGAGGAAAATAAGAATATTTTTCCTTACAATAAAGATTATTTTCCTCTGTAAGAGCTCTCCTTTCCGACATTAGATCTATTCATCAACAAAAGAATTATTAACTTGAATCATGTATTCTTTAATAAAGCGTTCGGCATAAAATCACAACTATATTCCCTGCCTTACTAGTCATGAGCCATATCAAACAATACCTAAGATGGGGGTTTTTCATATAATTGTGGGTATCTAAGCATAAAATCACCTTACCTATTCCACCCATGGGCGGAACTAGGTAGAGTGAAGGGTGTTGTCAGTGGAAAATTACACAATGTAAATAGAGTAAAATTAATATTTTTTGGTTATATGTGAGATGCTGAATCCCCTTGACATGAAAAATACAAGAACAGTAGTTAGGGGGGGTTCAAATTTGCTTTAGGTCATATGTTCAAATTACAACAGTAACATCCTAGAATATTTTTGAATCCCCTTGTATAAATTCCCGGTTCCGCTAGTGATTCCACCCCTACATTACATAGTAACTATGCTTATGAAGATACGGTGTAACACTCCCCAGGTAACTATACTCACCAAGGTTTAAGGTTTTGCATAGATGGGATTTATTTCCTTACATGGAATTTAATGCAAAACTCATCCATTAGCAGCCACAAACCAAACAAGAAATAGTAAGGGTATGTAAAATAGAGAAAGAGGGAGAAGAGAAAGGCTTACTCTATAGCCATAGTAGTTTCTGTAGTTACCATACAGAGCAACTTCTTTACGTTTTTTCTTCTGCGTCGTCGCTGATGTGTCCTCCTGCTGTTCACCGCCTATTCTTGCTCGTTGGTGCTCCATTGCAATATGGAAAACCAAAAGGGCAGATGATCCAAAGGGTTTATGCACTCAATGGGGTTTTCAAATTAGGGTTTTAGCCGGCTCTTTATACAACTGTAGAGAAAACAAAGACGCGGGTATTATGTGATTTTAATAGGGTGAGACACAATTAACTAACAAAAATAAAATTATTTATCTTTGCTTATTCATTTACTTTTATACCCATCAAACTAATTAATTTTCCTCTTTTTTCTCCTTTTCTTTTAATTTCTCTACTTCTTCTTTTCTTTTTTCCTTCTTTTCTTTATTTTCTCTTTTTCTTTTTTCTTTTTTCTGTTTTCTTCTCTCTTTTTTCTCCATTTATTTTTTGTCCAAGTCATATTATTATTATTATTACCATAATTTAATTTCACTCTTAATTTTGGCTCATTCTTTATTATTTTTTATCCTTTTGTTTTCTTTTAATTATTTTCTGTTCTTTTTCTAATTTCATTTAACTTATTTTTTCTTTAATTTCTTTTTTTCATAATGTAATTTCATTTACATTTTTTCCTCTTTTTATTTTTTATTTATATAATTGTCACATCTCTTAGGGTGTTTTTCCAATTTAAGTGATATAATCGAATTTGGGATTATTTATTAATTTTTCAAAGTCGCCACTTGAAATAATTTAGCAGAAAACCAGATCAGGTAAGGAATTATGTTAACTCGGGAGAAGGCATTAGGCACTCCCGAATTCCGTGGTTTTAGCACGGTCGCTTAACTATTAATAATTGGCCTAATTATTTAGTATTTAAGGAATTTATTTTTTGAAACAAGTCACGATGTCGTACGCTTGTCGATTTGGTACATGTTGCGAACCGCGCCACATGAAATGATTTGCGACGTGTTTATTTTATTACTAATCGAACAACCAAAATTTATCTTTACAACAATGACCAATTTGCACGAACAACCAAAATCTAGCACCTCGGATTTAACCAGCTATCAGATTCCCATTTTTGACCGCACTGTTTGGAATCAGATCTAGACGAATAAAGGCCAGCAATAACAATACATGAACCAAATGACATCATGATTTATTAACGAAAACGGATATTCAGAATATTTTTGTGATGATCGTACCTCTCTGCTCAAGAACTAAACTTAGAAGAAACGAGAGGCCGAATACATGCCGGGAATTGGTAAATTGGAAATCAGCAGAAGCAAAATCGGCAGCAAACAGAGTTAACCTTCGGTCGAAAATCAAAATGAAACCCAGAAAATGGTGATGAAAAGTTCCTCAAATCCAAGCATCAAATACCCTCTTTTATACGTTTTTTTTTGTTTGAAATTTCTGCTTCTAATCAGCGAAGGTGTACCTGGCGGAAACGGGGTGGTATAGCTGGAGCTTAGAGCCTTCTTTATTCTCTCGCAGCGAGGTTTTACGTATAGGAGAGGAGTCTGTCTCCTTCTCTTTTGAGAAGGCTGCTGGGTTTTTCAAAAAAAGGGGAGGGTCTCAATTTTTGTTGAAGATGAAGAGGGGTGCGTCGTTCTCCTCTCTCTTTTGGGTAGGGATTTCAGACATCTTCCTCTTTTACAGATAGGGTTAGGGATTTATTGGGGCTTTTGCATCTATACGCGCTTTGTGGGTCACATTTTAGCTTATACTCACTTTGTAAAAAAATTGCAAATATACCTATTTTTCGCATAAACTTCAGGTTTACAGTCCTGAAGTAGCAAAGGCAATCACAAAAACTTCAACATTCTAGGCTTTTTCAAAAACTTCAACAGAATTGCTTAAGTTATTTAGTTCATTTGTAAAAATTTCAGCACTAAATAAGCTAAAGTTTTGTCCTAGATTAATTAGTTTTGTCATAAAGCTTTTTCAACAATTTCAGCAGAAGATGCCCAAGTTATTTAGTTCATTTGTAAAAACTTCAGCACTAAATAAGCTGAAGTTTTGTCCTGAATTGATTAGTTTTGTCATAAAGCTTTTTCAAAAACTTCAGCAGAAGATGCTGAAGTTATTAAGTTCATTTGTAAAAATTTCAGCACTAAATAAGCTGAAGTTTTGTCCTGAATTGATTAGTTTTGTCATAAAGCTTTTTCAAAAACTTCAGCAGAAGATGCTGAAGTTATTTAGTTCGTTTTCAAAAACTTCAGCAGAAGATGCTGAAGTTATTAAGTTCATTTGTAAAAATGACTTCAGCACTAGATAAGATGAAGTTTTGTCCTGGATTCATTAGTTTTGCAATAAAGCTTTTTTAACAAACTTCAGCAGAAGATGCTGAAGTTATTAAGTTCATTTGTAAAAATGACTTCAGCACTAGATAAGATGAAGTTTTGTCCTGGATTCATTAGTTTTGCAATAAAGCTTTTTTAAAAAACTTCAGCAGAAGATGCTGAAGTTATTTAGTTCTTTTGTAAAAACTTCAGAAGTTTTGCATAGGTATTAGGAAAGCGGCGCCTGAAGTTGTAAAAATTAGGGTATAGGTTAAATAATTTTAAAAATATGGGTATAGGTATTTTGTCGCCCCGCGCAATTTTTACGGATTTATTAATGCGAGGGAATGGGCATTGGGCCAGGTAGGTCTTTTAAGATATTGGGCCGATCGATTTTGGGCCCTGAAATTGGGCCAATTTGAAATAAAAGACAAATTTGTTCTTACAAAAATGGCCACATTACTACTAATTAAATTTATTTTGTAAAAAAAGACCTACTTAGCATTTTAACTAATTAATTAGACTAATTCATTAATGCTAATGTATATTTTTTGTGACTTTTTATATGTTAATCTATCAATTAAAGAGTAATTAATTCCTAAAATGCAAATTAAACCTAGAATGACATGAAATAAAAAATGTGACAAATTTTATGATTTTTCTATGATTTTAAAATATTAAACATGCATGAAAATGCAACTAAATGCATACAGTCAATTTAAAAGAAAAATTCTAAAATTCTATAAATTTAAAAACAAATAGGAAAAAATTATTTTTTTGAGAATTTTATAGGAATATTTTCTGTACGGCAAAAATTAGGTACTTATAACTGATTTATTTTTCTAAGTTTGAGACGTCATTGTTCCATAAGATTTATCCAATAGAAAAGTGGTTTTTCTCATTTTAATTTAATAGTTTATGAGGATAATTTATTGCTTCTGAGTATGCAAAATAATCTCCCAAGTTGATAAACTTAATTGATAAACACCCTACACCATGGTTTGCTTATTATTCTGTAGAATCTATTCAGATTGTGACTAAATACAAGTAGTTTTCACACATAGTCACAAATGTTACATACCCGTACAGAAAATATTTGTTCACATTTTTTTAATATAACTGGTATAATATACATTTTATCTCTTTTTTATTTTTTATTCAATTATTAAAATAAATTATACATTACAATTATTTTCTCTTCTCTTTTTTTATTTTATTTTTTTCTTTTTTAATTTTATTTATTATTATTATTATTTCAAAAAATAAATATATTTCCTTTTTTTCATAATCTTATTTTGCACACATCTTTGGCTCATTTCTTTTTATTTTTATTTATTTATATTTTTATATATATTAATTATTATTGTCACACCTCCTTTTCCCCGAAAGGATAGGGGAGTTTTTCCAATTAAGTGACATTAATCGAAATGAATTATTTATTTATTTCAGAGTCGCTACTTGGGATATTTGTTATGGTGTCCCAATTCACCTGTTAATTTTAAATCCCAAATAGAGGAAATTTGACTTTGTTTTAAAGTGTGCGAAACCAGAAGACCAGAATTCTGTTAACCCGAGAGAAGGTGTTAGGTACTCCCGAGTTCCGTGGTTTTAGCACGGTCGCTCAACAACTAATAATTGACCTAAGTATCTTATTTATTACATGTTTTAAGACTTAAACTGAAAAGGAAGCATGCTAACTTTATTTATTAAAAAAGTGGCATAAATTTTAAGTTGAATTATTAACTGGCGACTGGGGATTTCTATGAGACGTTTTTTTCTTAATTGAGTTAATTATACGTTGCCAATATTAATGACTATTGTGGGGAACTTATACTTTTATTCATAACCCAAATACTCAGATAAGATACACGCGCGATACACGTACCAAGAACGGTTTTTTTATTATATTGAACGTAAAATTCATATTAGATAAAAATTATAATTACAATTAAATATTTAAAACTTAGGATAAGCTATTATTAAGATTTGAATCAATAACAAAAGAATCTCTTTAACGTTCCATCGATCGTGAAAGACGAAATGACTCACCAAGAGCATTGCCCATCAGGGGTTGGGGGGACAAAGAACAATTCTAATTAACCAAAAAAGTATTTGATTTAACTAATTTGCGAAAAATCCAACCCATACTTTTCAATATATATAATAAAATTGAAAATATAATAGGCACACCAATATAATATAGTAGTAAGAGTCAAACTGTTAAAAATGCAAACGTTAAAAACAATAAGAATGAAACATTAGAAGACAAAATATATTCTAAGTTAGTTGTCATTAATTAATTTTCTTTCTGGTCTTCGTTTAAATAAATGACAACTCCCTATACTTTCAGTATAAAGTTACTTATTTTAAAGGAAAACTTAGCATTTAATAACTTGATTTACATGTTTTTCATATACTCATTTTTTACTGATTGACGCTAATCATACGTGCAACTAGTGGTGTTCATAAAAATCCGAAAAACCGAACCAAATCGAAAACCAAACTAAACCGACCAAAAAAATCGATATTTTTTAGGTTTGGTTTGGTTTTGGCTTTGAATTTCAAAAACCGATCAAAGTTGGTTTGGCTATGGTTTTAATAAAAAAATAACCCAAAAAAACCGATCTAAACCGACTATAAAAATAGCTACTTAAATTTATTATTACACCAATATATATAAAGTTTCTAAAATGTTATGTTATATATTAGTCATTTATATTTTAAGTCTAGTTCTTTGCAATTACAATAATATAATATTTTGCCTTTGCATTTTAGTTTGATTGGTAGTTTGCTTTCACTAAATACAAGAATTATTTTATATCTAGTTCTTTGCAATTACAATAATATAATATTTTGCCTTTGCATTTTAATTTGATTGGTAGTTTGCTTTCACTAAATACAAGAATTATTTCATATTAAAAATAATTGATTTTTAATTGACTTAAATTATTCATCACTATTTGATTCATTTATCATCAATATATCACGGTAAATGATAGATTTCTCAAAGAACAATTGGTTCGTTAGTGTTACGTTGAAAATGTAGTCGCTGTGGAATATGTGTTTGGTAGTGTATGTCTCATATTTAAGAAAAAACCGATAAATAACCAACTTCTACTATTCTATGTTCTTCCCGAAAGTGTGCTAATCCCTATGTTATGCGGAGCTGAGTATCTTCTATTCACTGGGATAAAGCCTTTCCTCTGCAGGGGCCTTGTGCAGAAGCAGGCCGACGAGCCGGCAGATTTGGATTCATATATATATCCACCCATGTGGTTTTTCAATGCGAGATCTAAAAACATATCTCTCTGTGGCACCAGTACTAAGTACGTGAATACCTAGTCTTTTCAATGCTAGGCATAATGTCCTAAGATAGTGAAATTTCTTGTCGGGTAAGTTCCGACCCGCACGAAAGGCGTAACGATTAAAAAAATCGAAAAACTTATAAAAACCAACAAAAACCGAATCACTAAAAAACCGACTTAATTGGTTTGGTTTGATTCCAACATTTTAAGAACCGACTTACTTGATTTGATTTCGTTTTAGGAAAAAATCGATCCAAACCAAACCATGAACACAGTTGCACGTACACCAAAGCTAGTTTTTTAAAAGATGTGAAATTTTTTAACTTTTCTTCCACATTTATCATATGGTCGCTAATTTAATGTCGTCGTAGTCCTTATTTCCTGTAGTGGCTTCAACGGTTGATCTCCCATATATGAAATCAAATATTTTTGCCAACCTAAGGTTGCTTGATTTCTTATCTTATTAAAGTGCAGTCATTTTCTACGCACCCTATTTCATTATGCATGCATGATGAGTTAATTAATGAAAAATCACTACTAAAAAAGGTAGGAAAAATCTTGGAGCAACGGTTAAGTGTCTCCGTGTAACCTATAGGTCACGGGTCCGAGCCGTGGAATTAACCACTAATTCGTGCATTAGGGTAGGTTGTCTACATCACACTCCTTAGGGATACAGTCCTTCCACGAATCTTGCATGAACTGAACGCGAGATGCTTTGTGCACCGAACTAAACAGTTAAATCTGTCGCTTATCCTATTTAGCTACGAATTAATGACATATTATCAAGAAGTTTTATTGGCTACGAATAATTTAGCGACAAAGTTCAGATTCTTGATTTTTGCAGGGAAATATAGTGACACTTTGAAGCTGTAAATAACCAAAACCATTAAGAAAAATTAAATGAGCAAAAGGTGAAAGAATTCAATGCATTTTACAGCAGTTGAATAGGTTCTTGTTGATTAATTGAACTTCTTCAAAAGAATTTAGCTTTTGCATGACTGAGGCTCTGAAACTCTTTAAAAAGGGCGCCCTCCTAATCTCATTTTGATAGGAAGAGAT